AATTTTTTTTTTTTTATTTTTCTTAGTTTTTTTTTATTTTTTTAATGATTTTTCACGAGCCCATGAGCTCAGCTCGTGGGCTCGTTCCCACGAGCGCTCGCCTCTTAACGAGTCGAGCTGAGCTGAGCCAAGCTCGGCTCGTTTATGAACAGGTCCGCTCGGCTCGAGCTCGTCTTTTAACTAGCCCGAGCGACTCGTAGGCATGAACAGTATGAGCCGAGCAGCCGAGCCAACGAGCCGCTCGGCTCGATTGACATCTCTAGATAGAAGGAGGGACAATCATATATTCAAAATATACACTTGAACTCTTGAGGAAAAATATATGAACATTTTATCTATCCTTCCACATATTCCCACTTTGTTATTACATAGATTAGTTTAGTTTCCGTCAGGCAATCGTTGTTAGCGCGTTGCTTTTGTTCCACCCGCCGGAGGTTGAACATTTTCTTTTCTCCCCGCAAAGTACCTCTCGCGTCCATCTTCTTCGTGCTACCGTCATCATTCTGGTATGAACGCGCCGGAATCGCACTTGACTTGGCTTGAGTGGGCCCGGCATCTGTTGAGCTCATTTTTTGGAGTCAACAAGTGATATTAAGCTGGTCAAAATACCAACTCAGGTAAATCCTGCAGATGCAGGAACCAAAGTAATACCTATAAAAAAAGTTCTTAGATTCTTTAAGATTATTAAATCTTGAAGAAAACTAATTTCCTATTTTTGTACAGGTAATAACAGCAAATGAAGTTTGGTCTATGCTTTAAATCCACACAAGTACCATTCCAAAATGTAGCAAAAGGTGGAGATTGTTGAAGATGTTTGCTAATTTTTGGAGGCCCAGTAATATTAAATCCTTTTGGCCCAATCTGAAGTGACCCAAGTGGTGATCCATCATAAGAAGAATCTGGAATGGTGATTGTTATCCCCCACTTTTAAGGTCTAAAGAAGTTGGGCCACGTGGTAGTACGATCAACGAGGAGTCAAGAGGAGGGCCAATAGGTTAGAAGTCCAAGTGAGAAAATAGGTCGAAGTCGTTAACCTAGCAACAGATGCTCTCACGTTAACAAGCTTTGGACTGAAGCACTTCATCAAAGACGAGGCACAACCCAATCCAAGGTTCTCTCAGGTTCATCCGAAGTTCATAAAATTAATGCTGTCTCACACCAGATCCGAAGATTTTTTCGAATTGATTGATGTGACGTCTGCGGTAAAGCGTTTGTAAATTTAATCATTGCCAGCCTATCACTAGAATGGCTGACCTTTAGTCAAAACATTAAATATAATGAGTGGACAGTGATGTGAAGCTTTGGCTTACGGGATGTCGCCACGTGGACTTGATCCAACGATCATCACGTCGGTTAGAACAGTATAAATAGCCACTCTCTGTATAGAAAAAAAGAAGATGGATGCAAAGAAGATACAAACATATACTCATACAAACACTTGAGATTTTATTGAAATAAAGGGAACTCATCTACTCATCATATCTATCCTTCCATATATTTCATTGTCATTTTATTGAATAGGAGATTACTGATATTGATAGCGTGATAATCCTGAAATATATCGTCGGAACCTTAATATTTTTGTCTCTCGCCGGAAAGTACCTCCCATGTTCACTGCAGCCGGATTACCGTTCTCATTCCGGTAAAAACGTGCTGGATCCGTACTGACGTGGCGAGAGTGGGCTTGGTNGAGACTTTTCAATTAGAGTCAGGAGACTTTTCATTCTTTCATTCTCCAAGGCAATCAGCTTCTTTCCTTTTCTTGTATTCTCTCTGTAAATTTGATCTCTAATTTTCTGTATGATTTTTGTGAGATAGGAGAATATAGTGATGAACTCTTGTATGAGTTCATGAGTGTTGTGGAAAGGATTCTGTGGTTTCTGCTGTTTTGTGGCCGTATACTGTAACTCAATCTTTTGCCTATTTTTGGGCGATTTTTAGTGGATTTGAGTTTATTCCTAACGGATGCTCAGCGAGGATTACACGTTAGAAGTGGTCGCCGAACCTCGGGGCCTTTGGACAGAAAAATCTTGTGTTGATTCTTGTTATTTTTGTTGATTTCTTTTCTGTTTTTACTTACACTAAACCACAAACTCTTTTTCGGACCAACAATTAAAGTTGAAAAACATAGTTCATGTCAAAGTCCTAGTGGTGCCCTTATAATGTTCCAAACTTCTCCCAATTTCTCATTCAAAGCTTTATTTTAGTTTCTGGTAGATAACACGAATTTCTCTCGAAGTTTGGCATAGTTCAGTTAAGGCTAGATTTACTTGACTTCATTGCTAGATACAGTATCGACGCTATATTCACTTTTTATTACTTGTCAACCATACCATGCACTCAAGAGTTTCAAGCGATTAGGTAGCTTTTTTTGGAAGTCCAATTAGAGTTCTTTTCTTTTTCCTACCCCAAAGAAAGTAACTACGATGACAGTTTACAAGTGAATATTGAATTCAACAAACTAACACAAATCAACTCCAACACTGGGAATTAAAAACTGATCCATCTCTCTTAGCATTCATTTATTTTCAGATGTTCACTCTCTTGAGTTTTTCATTGCATAAATGAAAATTTTAACATCTAAAATAAATGAAACAAGATTTGCCCAGCTCATTTTTACACCCGTTGAAGCCTACGGAGGAGGAATAAAAGGAGGTAGAGGAGGAAACGGGAACCATCCAATCTTAGGGTGGTGGACGTAATGTGGAGGAATCCATGGGAAAGGAGGACAGGGTTTCCAGAAGATTGGTGGAATTGGCTTGTAAATTGGAACCAGTGGTGGAAGTGGCTGGTAAACTGGTGGATTGTATATTGGAACTGGTGGTGGAACTGGCTTTACTGGTGGTTTGTGAATTGGAACCCGTGGCGGTAGTTTCTTTACTGGTGGTTTGTAGATTGGAACCTGTGGAGGAAGTGGCTTTACTGGTGATTTGTATATTGGAACTGGTGGCAGAACTGGCTTTATTGGTGGTTTGTATATTGGAACTGGTGGAGGAAGTGGCTTTATTGGTGGTTTGTGTATTGGAATTGGTGGGGGAAGTGGCTTTACTGGTGGCTTAGGTTTGTAGATTGGAATTGGTGGAGGAAGCGGCTGGTGACCTGGTGGTTTGCAGATTGGAACTGGTGGCCGAAGTGGTTTTACTGGTGGTGGCTTCGGTTTGTAGATTGGAATCGGTGGAGGAAGTGGCTGTTTGTAGATTGGAGCTGGAGGACGAATTGGCTTTACTGGTGGTGGCTTTGGTTTGTAAATTGGAATTGGTGGAGGAAGTGGCTGTTTTACCGGTGGTTTGTCGATTGGAACTGGAGGAGGAAGTGGCTTTACAGGTGGTGGCTTCGGTTTGTAGATTGGAATTGGTGGAGGAAGTGGCTTGTAAACCGGTGGTTTATCGATTGGAACTGGAGCAGGAGGCAGCTTTACCGGTGGTGGCTTTGGTTTGTAGATTGGAATTGGAGGAGGAAGTGGCTCGTAAAGTGGTGGTGGTGGTGGATCTATGTGTGGCTGAGTAGGAGGCTGGCTTGGCGCTGGTGGTTTTGGCTGGGAAGGTGGAGGAGATGGCATTGACATGTAAATGGGAGGGCATGGTTTGTGAAAAATTGGTGGAAATGGAGGTAAAAACCATGGATGGCCAAAGTGATCTCCCCATGGAGGAAAGTGTGGATGACAAAATGGCCAATAGAAATCAGATTTGCATAATGCAGCTGAAAATTTCAGAATTCCCTTTGGTTTCAATCTGTAATTTCCATCAGCTTTTGATTTTAAAACTACAATCATGGTTTCCTCTAGGCCACTGTGGACTGGACATGCAGCAGATGCACTGTGAAGTTGTGCATAACATTCCTCCTTGAGCTTTCCTTCCTGCAGAATCCTATCAGGAACTAAAACTTTGAATTTTCCTTCTTCATCAACTTTTCCTTTCCCCCAACTTTTTACTTCTCCATTCTTGAGCTTGCAATCTATGGTTACATGGAGCCCTGCAAAACATGGAGAACAATTTAGTATACACAAGACATCCGTGAATAAAATATATATATTTTTTACGTGTTACATATGCACTGCAATGTCGGGGCAACAAATGTGATTTTTCTCATTTTCTTCGTTAATCTTGTACAGTATTCTCTAATCCAACGTGTCATTTGTACGTTGAATCGGTTAAGATTATAGAAAAGAGATATGCAACATCCTAATCCACTATTACATACAGTTAAATGCTAGCTTGTTAGTTATGATGTTCAATACTTTCTAGTCGAGCGTGCACCAGGAAGAACATAAATTTACCTGAAGAGGCTTGACTGGATTTGATGTTTCTCTCTTTGCAGTCAGCACACTCTGCAAGTCCAACAACCTCAATTTTCTTGTCATTTGCATAGCAAAAACTTTGTAAAAATGCAACGAACAAAGAACAAAATAGAAAATGAACCCACATTGGAACTTCCCACTGAGACCTTAAGGAGAGAAAAACCCTAAAATGGAGAACTCACAAGTCACAAGGTCATTGTTATATATATAGAGGGAGATACACACACACAAGCTCTGAAGTGTACTCGTGAGTTGCTTAAAAGTGACTTAACTTTGAGCACAATCAAACATGTTATGTTTAGTCAAATAAAGGTTGAGTAAACTTCAAGATCAAAAGAAACAAAAAGATTTAGCTTATCAAAAGCATAATGAACTTCATTGAATCAGTTCAACTGCATAATTCTGTCTTTTTCTACTGAACCTATTTACAAAGTACCAACTCTCATTCAAGATTTTACTGTCTTTTTCCTTTCAGCTTAAAGTTGGGAAGTAGGAAAGAAATTACATTCATGAGTCATTTATGGCTAGCCATCTGCATATTAGTTTCACACGAAACATTTTGCATATAAATGTCAACCAAATTTGGTTACAATTTAAAAATATAAATCCAATATAATTAACATTTTGAATAAATTTGTCAACAAAATGTGGTCACGATTTTAATATATAAATCCATGCAAATTAATTATCTTTAATTACTATTGATAATTGTGTTTTACACGCTTATTCGTGTTTATGAACTTGATAGATATTTGCAAATTGAGCGACTTCTACTTAATTTAGTGTAAATGTTTTTTATTTTGGGTAAAACCCGTACTCGAAGGTATTTAGAGTAAGAATAAGATTTTAAAGACCTAATTGAAAACTAATCGGATTGCACAAAATTGACAAGAAGCATTAAGAGAGCAATTGGAGGAAAGTTACAAGTTCAATATATGGAACTTTGGAGACTGATTTGCACGTTTATGACCATTTTGGGTGATTATGAAAATGGAAAGCTTTTGGAAGTTGTGAAATTGTTGTATAAAATTTGGATCAAAAGGGACCAAAAATAAAATCATACAGAAAACTTGAAATAAGGACCAAAGTGTAAAA